TTGGGATATTTCGAGATTAAGGAGTTTTTTCTTAGTCTTCTAATTTCATTGCAATATTCTTTCATAGTCCTGCAAGTTTCTTCGATATATTTATAGGTGATGTGTTGGAAATAATTCTTCATTTTGTGCTCTTGGTTGATGATCGTGTAGATGTTTATTTTTAATAGTGTATTATTCGGCAGGCTTCCCGATAATTTATTTATTATTAATTTTCTTGGTCCAGGTAGATTTATTGATTTGGGTTCTATTAAGCTTATAGACCTAAGTTTTGTAAATAAAAATTCCTTTTTTATTTCATTAATCCCGACGTTTCGTCAATGTTTGTTGACATCTTCAGGGGATAAATAAACATTACATTAGATCAAATCTTCATGAATATATAAATAACTTACAATAAAATTGGATTAAGTTAACATGAAGTATTTCGTCAAGTTCAACAACACAAAACCTTAATAACTAATATCACAGATTACTATATTGCAATGCGATAGCTAACACTTATGTTGTTTGTGTCCTCTTTGAGATTCATCGTCCTTTTTATTTTTTGTTGTATTCGTAAACTTTCTATCGTGTATCTTTTATCGTCTTTGCTTTCTTTGTCTAATATTTTAACATTTTCAAAATTTGCATTGTGTCCCGTTTTTGAAATATGTTGCGCCAATGCTGTTTTTTGTGTTCCCTTTTCAATGTCAGTTTTATGTTCCCCCATTCTCGTTTGCAATGTTCGTTTTGTTGTACCAATGTAATGTATGTGCTATGTTATTTAGGTTTTTAACTGTCAAATTAAAACCTCTGAAAAATAAGATCAGGGTTTTAAAGGTCTGTGTTTTGATGATATTTGCACATTTTTCTACGGATTTGTTTAAAAATTGGTATTAAAATTGTATTTGTAGTATAGGATATTTGTAGGATATTCAGTATTTCGATAAAATTTGCCACATTTTTTCTAAAAAATCGTCTAAAAATTTTGTAGTTCATAATGGGCTCTAGCTCTGGCGTCAGAAAATTGAACATTTAGGTCCACGTTTTCCTGAAGCGCATATATAACGATACACAACGGTACTCGGTATTCTGTCACATTTACCCACGAAATTGTTTCAAAAGGTTGTATCAAAGATTTGGTAGATGATAGTCCTTGAAGTATAAAATTGTCTATGGAGGTTCCCGTTTTGGTATGGCCCCCATACAACGGTCCTCTAAACGGTCTTACTGCTATGAGTAGTTTTAAGTGGAACGCGTTTGAATTCAGATACTACAATATTAAAATGTTTTCTTTACCTAAAGGTGGAGAGTATTCAAAGTTCAGCCAGGCTGAATTTAAGGTTTTTTTTTTTTAATTTTTTGTATACTCTTATATCGGTAGCGTTTCATCGAACTCATTTTAAATTTCGATAACAATAAATTTGTTGGGTTAATTTGAAAACAGTATGGGCTATTATAAACCAATCATCTTTTTTATACCCTCCACCATGCTATGGAGGGTATATAAACGTTGTCATTCCGAAATACTTATGTCAGACAACAACAAAGTATATATATTCTTGATCAGCGTACTATTCTAAGTCGATTTAGCGATGCCCACCTGAATGTGTCACTCTGTCTTTTGTAATTGCTCTGTCATTCGAACGATTTGAGAAAGAAAGCTAAAATGTTGTATACATGTGTATTTTGCAAGTAGACGGGTTAAGTTCGTAGATGTCGGTCCATGTTTTCATATAGCCCCATATAACGGTAGCTCTCAATATTCGTCATTTTAATGATTTTAGCGACATTATGGACCGGAATTGTTTCGAATTTCGTATCTGAAAAATCTTATTAAGGTCTATGTTTTCCTATAGCGCACATATGACGATACCCACCGATGTTCGTTATTTTGATAATCCTAGTCACATTTACCCAGGAAATTGTTTCAAATTTGGTATTTAAGAAGATTTGGTAGATGTCAATCCTTGAAGTATAAAATTGTCTATGGAGGTTCCCGTTTTGGTACGGCCTCACTCAGTTTATGTTTTTATACCCTCCACCATACATAGTATGGAGGGTATATTAAGTTCGTCATTCCGTTTGTAATTCATTGAAATAATCATTTTAGACCCAACAAAGTATATATATTCTTGATCAGCGTAAAATTCTAAGACGATCTATATTCGGTATTTTGATGATTTTACCCACATTTTTCAACGGAATTGTCTGAAAATCCACATAAAGAGTTCCTTATGGGTACTTTATACTTCGGAATAGAATCATCTATATAAATCGACGATATCGTATAGCCCCCATATAACGGTACCCCCCGATATTCGGTATTTTGATGATTATAGCCACATTTTCTAATGGAATGGTCTGAAAATCCACACAAGGAGTTACTTGTGATTACTTCATCCCTTGAAAGAGAATTATCTATATAGGTCCACGATATCGTATATCCTCCATATAGCGGTACCCTCTGATATTCGGTATTTTGACGCTTTCAGCCACATTTTTCAACGGAATTGTCTGAAATTCCACACAAGGGGTTATTTGCGAGCACTTTACCCCCTGACTTAGAGTTCTCTATATAGGTTAACGATATCGTATAGCCCACATATAACGGTACCCTCTGATATTCGGTATTTTGATGATTTCAGCCACATTTTTCAACGGAATTGTCTGAAATTCCACACAAGGGGTTATTTGTGAGCACTTTACCCCCTGACTTAGAGTTCTCTATATAGGTTAACGATATCGTATAGCCCACATATAACGGTACCCCCGTTATTCGGTATTTTGATGATTTTAGCTATATATTCCAATGATATTCTCTGAAAATCCACACAAGGATTTCTTTGTGACCACTTTAACCCCTGAAAGGTATTTGTCTATATAGGTCCACAATATCGTAAATCTCCCATATAACGGTACCGATATTCGGGATTTTAATGATTTTACCCACATTTCCCCATGGAATTATCTGAAAATCCACACGAGGAGTTCCTTGTGAGTACTTTACGCCAGACATAGATTTGTCTATCTATATAGGTCCACAATATCGTATATTCCCCCATATAACGGCACCTTCCGATATTAGGTGTTTTAAAGATTTTGAAAGAACTTTCAATAGATTTTATTTTCTAATTCGTTCTAAATGGTGGAGGGTATTCAGAGTTCGGCCCGACCGAACTTACTGCTTTTTTACTTGTTTTTTTTTTTAAGTTTAACAGTTCTATCCAAACGGTCTTACTGGTATTTGTAGTTCAAAGTGGAACACGTTTGAATTCAGATATCTATATCTATAAGAGAAGAAAATGTTTGTTTGTTTGTAATTTATGGACTCGAAAACCGCTGCACAGATTTTCCTGAAAATTTCCAACTATTCTACGACATCGGCTGAAAGTAACATTGGCTACATAATTTTTTGAAATTCCATTTGGAACTGGGCATATACCATCAAAATAGGAAATACTTCCCAAAAAATTAGATTTCATATGCAAATATCTGTTGATCGATTACAGATACAGTCTGCAAATTTGGAATGCGTAACGGAGTTTGGAACAAAAATAAATTTGCCAAATTATATTGAAATCGGTTCAGATTTGGATATAGCTCCCATATATATTTTCGGCCGATTTCGTTTATTTGATGCACCAAACACAATATATAGGTTACATTTAATTGAAATTTGGAAAGTGTGACGGGATTTGATCAGAAAATAAATTTTTAAAATTATATTGAAATCGGTTCAGATTTGGATATGATTTTATTATAAAGCATTGGCCCACAACGCCTTTGCCATGATATTAGGCTAATAGTAAAAAATACACAACAGTTTAATTGAGGATACGATTTTTACGGGGCAGTACGTTGCTACCTCGAATTCTCTAATCGCAACAGAAATGTCAGTCACCTTCAGAAGATTACAGTTTCCTCAGGTTACCAAGATTTAAAACAATCGCTGAGTTGTTTCGCAAATTATAAGAGATATAAATCTTGAAAATTGCGACCCTTTGTGGGGGATATTCCAGAAGGAATGGTTTGATATAATTCATCATCACACCAGATCTTTTGTTAGTAGAAATACTGTGGTGTGCGAAAATTGAAAAAAATCGGATGATTTTATTAGAGTTATAATTATTCCAAATTTTGACCCTTTGTGTGGGTGGTACATATTGACCTAGAACTGATACAAATCAGTTCTTCGTTTGTAGGAGAGAGGCTAAGGAAAAAATTAAAATAGAAAAACATTTCTCATACAAAAGTGTAATTAAATCATAGAGGAAAGGCAATGATGAAAAAGAAAATTGCGTTGAATAAATGCAAGAGCCTACTTCAAAAGAGAACGATAAAAATGGCCGACAGTAAGCTCTCCTAGTACAAATCAGGTCTCATATACATTTGACTATCAATAGAACCATATAAAGTTCACCTAACTTCTCTTCTGAGTTTTAATTTTGTTTATATTTAGTATTGGGAACTCTGACTATGACCGCGATTAAACTAGCGTTTCTTGCTCTGTCTTGAAATAAAATTGGAAGAATTGCCCTCCGAATGAATGGAATAAAGTTGATCGATCAACATATTACTCAAATATATATTAGATCCCTAGAATTATCGCTTTTGTCGTACTTCTTCCACGCAGATCCTCGTCCTCGATTATGTTTCTTTCTCTTTCCTGATCTGTATCACACGCTCAGCCGTATGCTTAACCAACCAATGACGAAAAGCATAGAACATTCTGAGAGTGCGTTAGTGCCTACTTGGCAGGGACGTACCCACGGTGGTTCTTGCAGGCAGGTCTTTCTCCAAAGTGGCTACTTTTCTGACATTTTTTTTGTTGTATATATTACATGTTAAGGTTATTTTTTTAAGTTGCCGCCACAAAATGGTTTCGAAATTCATGTTTTTTGTACTCCTGTCATAAGTAGAATCAAAATTCGGCAGTGTGTGTAAAAACTCTTATCATATTTTTGTCTATTAAGTTCTTCTTAACTTCATTCACACATGATTCCCTTTCTTACTTGCAGGATACTATTCGATTTGTATCAAAAAACGGCTCAGAAATGTATTTTAGGGATACAACCTATTACTTCCGAAACAGACCGCTGGCAGCATTAGCGTTCCTAACATGGGTGCTAATTTCAAAGCTGGAGCCAATTACGCCTGCATCTACTATTAACACATATGCAGACAGTTACGAAGAGAGCCCGGCGGAACTCTACAATTATGAGTGTTTGGCGAAACAAGGTAAGGATTCTCAAGTAATAATCATTTATTTGAAAGTGAAAGTGAAGTGAGTTCCACAAAATTTGAATTTGAAATATCATAGCTATAGAGCGTAAGTTTTGACTCTGTATAGGCTTATAAATTAAATCGGAAAAAATATATGTGAATCGATTTGGTTAACATTTCGATTTGGTTAACTTTAATCTATTCTAAAATTCTGTCTTACTAACCAACGTTGCATGACTGGTGCATTCGCTTTGTAATTCCGTATGCAAGTCCTGTAAAAATAATTTAGACGCCACAATTATTCTTAATGAGCGATGAGGTGATCGGAGAAATTGAGAGATTAGGTTAAACATTTGCATGTATCGTTTTTTTATCATTTACTTTTGTTACCCCAAAAAGCAAACATTTATTCTTACCAAAAGTTTTTATACCCTCAGCCATATGGCTACAGAGAGTATATACAATTTGATACTGTCAAACGGACTAGGCACGTCGAAATAACGGTTTTAGACTCTAGGTCTCTCCTTGGACCAAATCCGTTTCAGAACATAATATCGGTCCACTCCTTATGGTACTTCCCAAAAAACGGTAGAAATTTTCAAAAAAAAAATATTTTTTGCACAGAAAGAGAAAATATAATCCGATTTTTCTCCACCTTTGCATATCCTAATATTTGCATCAGTGCTAGGTCAGGTGTGAAAATGGAGAATATCGGTCCACTCCATGAAGTACCTCCCCCACAAAGGGTCAAAATTTTAAATAATTACAACTCTCATAAAATGTAATGTTAGAGTCCGTTTGTCTTAAAATTTCACACATCCCAATATTTATATTAACCCACGGTCAAATGGTCGAAATTCGCAAAAAAAAACATTTTCTGCACAGAAAGGGAGGCAATAATCTAATTTTGCTCTAATTTTGCAAATCCTAATATTTGCGACAGTGCTACCTGCCCCACATAGGGTTCAAAATTTTGAAAAACATAACGCTCAAAGAACGCGAGGTAAGCATCCAACTCTCTTCAAATTTCACACATTTTTGCTAACACAAGATCTGTTGTGAATATGCTATATATCTGCGAACCACTTCTGGTACATCGCCCACAAACGAAAAAAAAATTTCAATGCCGACTGATACTTTTTTACTTGTTAATTTGAAATTTAATTTCAACAAAATTTGCAAATTTTCGAAACTGTTTTGAGTATTATTCAAAACAATGCATACACATATAACAGCGTTACCTAAAATTCGACCCAGCGTACACATATAATAAGCTTCTCTTACTATTTTAATATGGTGTATTTGGGTAATACGTTTTAAATTTTACCATAGCGCGAATATTGAATATCTGTGTACGCTGCATCTAATTGTTGGTAACGCTGTAGAATCTGTGTATGTGTTACAATATCCTACCTTAAAAGTTATTGTACCGTGAATTCCTATAAATTCAACTCAAATGTCCTTAAAATAAAGTTTTTGTCACATAATGCCAAAAATTATGTAACTCTATCACATATTGGTCGCCGACATAGGAAACTACATATGGATCTTCCGAGCTGAGTCGATCTAGCTATGTACGTCCCTCCGTCCGTCTGTCCATGTTAATTGATAATAACTCTACAAGTCGCAATTATGGCCCGATCCTCACAAAATTTAGCATGGAGGTGGGGCTAGGGTCCGAATAGAAGCCTAGAAGAGAAAAAACAGAAAAAAATCTTGATCTAGCATGGGGACTGATATTCACAATTCACATCAAATCGCAATGGTTTCTTGCCAAAAAAAGTATAAAATCTAAGAAAATCGCGGAAAAATTCGACGGTAAAAAGGGAATATTTTTTGTTTTTTTTTTCAATTTTCGTCATACTTTTTATCACATGCGATTTTTTCAAATTTTCTAAAGTTATTCCACACCTCCCAATACTATGTGTTGATTTATTATATACAGGTCGCAATTATCGTCCGATCCTCATGAAATTTTGCATGGGGATAGAGTTAAGGTCAGAATTAAAGCCTATTGTTTTTGAAAATGTATATTTAGGGTTCAAATATAAATAATAATAATCATAATAATAATAATAATAATAATAATAATTTTTTTTTTTTTTTTGCGGAGCAGTTGGGAAAAATGCTATTTACGCATTCACGTGAGCCGTCACTCATCGTGGTATGTCGGGCTTGATCTTGGTACCGACTAAAAAACCCACCTGCCGACCTCTGGGAGTTACTACCACCTCGGCACCACTTACGTATTACTTCGAGGTGGCTCCCGGGCTTCTAAGGCCTTCTTCTTCTAGCTTGCGTCCAAGCTCCGCTATTCGTTTTGAGGTCTTAGAGGGTTGTCTAAGTCCCTCTTTTTCATTTTTAGTAGCTGCTCGCAGTATTTCGATACAGCATTCCAGATCTCTTCCGATTCTAGCATTTTCACAGCTATATTCGTCGTTGTAATTTCGCCTATTTGCAGTTCTAGTTGTGAGCGTAGGTTTACCCACCGACGGCGTGAGAAGAATGTGTGTTCTGCGTCGTCTAAAGTGTCTTCTTCATACAAACAAAAAGGGGATTCACTCTTTCCGTGCTTAAACAGATATTTACGGAAATATCCATGTCCGGAGAGCATCTGTGTTATGTAATAATTTACATTGCCGTGCTTTCGTTTTGTCCATGCTTTAATGTCTGGAATAACCCTCGCTGTCCATCTTCCGTATGTCTCTAGATGCCAGCGTGTCTGCCATTTTTCGAAAGTTTCCTCTTTTATTTGGGCAAGTTCTGCGACTTCATGTTGGCGACGCTTTACCTCGAATAATTTTCGCCGTTCTTCTGCTATTAAATCAATAGGGACCAAACCCGCTATGACTTGTATCGCTGGTCCTGAGACTGTGCGGTATGCAGATGCCACTCTCAGCGCCGCTGTTCTTTGAACCTTTAGCAGTTTCTGTGCCCTCTGCTTATTGAGCATGCTCCCAGCCCAGATTTCGCATCCGTACAGTAGAATGCTGTTACATGCCTCCAACAGTAGCCTCCTCTTACAGGATAGGGGCCCTCCAATATTTGCCATTAACCTACTTAGCTGCATCGTGATAGTAGTAGCCTTCTCAGCTGCATGACTTAGCTGCGACGAAAACGTAAGTTTGTTGTCGAGCCTTATACCGAGGTACGTTATGGCTTTTTGCGTCCGAAAGGTAATGCTGTTCACATGCATGTTGATTTCTGCTGGAATATGTTGCCTGGTCAATAATACCAGCTCTGTTTTCTGCATGGCTAGCTCTAATCCATGCGATATCAGCCATGCTCTGACCCGGATCATGACTTGTTTCAGCTTACGTTGGGCATCGTCTGTGGTTCTGGCCTGGATGACGGCAGCAATATCATCTGCATATCCTACTAAAAAGGTTTTCTCAGGCATATCTAAATTTAATATTCCATCATAGCTGATGTTCCATAGGTCGGGGCCTAGGATGGAACCCTGTGCAGCTCCTGATGTTATCTGCACCTCTCTGTTTCCATCGCGTGTGCTGTATTTAAGCACTCTTCCACTAAGGTAGCTTTTTATTACTATCATGAGATACTTGGGGATCTTAAAATTAGATTCCATAGCGTGTATAACGTCTGTCCACCTCAGGCTATTGAAAGCGTTTTTCACATCAAGTGTGGCTAATAGTACTACCGGCCTGCTGTAGTTATTTCGTTGCTGAGCAGCGGAAAACACATCCACTACTTCCTTAATTGCACCGATTGTTGACTTTCCACTTCTGAAGCCATGTTGCCTCTCAGACAATCCTCCTTCTAAGTTCACAGCATCTTCTATCCTTTTCTTTAACAGTCTCTCAAACAATTTTCCAGCAGTACTTAGCATGCACAGTGGTCTGTACGATGACGGTGCTGTTGGATCTCCTTTGCCTTTACTAATGAGCACAAGTTGCTGCTCCTTCCAAGGCGCTGGGAAGATTCCCTCTGCTAAGCAGTGGTTGTACATTCTCAGTAATGAGTGTGGTCGTGCATCAGCTATCTCCTTAAGGACTTCCGCCGGAACACCATCTGGCCCTGGGGCCTTATTGTTTTTTAATTTTTTAGCAGCCGCTTGCAGTTCTTCTGGTGTAAAAGATATGGGAGCATCTATGGGTTCAGAAATAGGTTCGTCTGTCCTTATTTCGTGTGATGGGAACAGATTATTTACAATGTTTGCCATTTGTTCTTCATTCAGTCCATATACTGGGGCTTGAGCTCCCAGTTTCTTCATGACTAATTTGTATCCGAGTCCAAACGGATCTCTGTTAATGTCCTCCCTTAGTTCTTCCCATTTGCTTCTTTTGCTATCTCTAATCGCAGTTTGAAGTGCCTTTTTTGCTTCCTTGTACTGAGCATGTTCTATGTTTGCAGGGCCTCTACGTTTAGCTCTTGTAAACTTCCTTCTTCGGCTGAGGCAAATCCTTCTTAATTCGTCGACTTGGCTATTCCACCAATATACTGGCGATTTACCAGCACCCAGGGTTTTTAGCTTCGGCATAGACTTGTTGCACCCTTTGGTTATTACATGCATGGTTCTGCCCACCACTTCAGTTGCAGTACCCTCTAATGATAATGTTTCACTTTGCCTGTCTATTTCTGCTATTAGAGCGGATCTATCTAACCTTTTTGCATTCCATTTTCGAGTACCTTCTCGTGCCTTTTGTGTTGTGGCTTCTCTGGTTGCTTGAACGGTATAGGAGATATATTGGTGATCACTTGCCGTATAAATCTCGAGGACTTTCCAATTAATAATTTTGCTCGCCAAATTTTCCGATACCAGTGTGATATCAGGTATGGTACCATTGCAGCCCGGTCGTCTAAATGTTGGGGAACATCCCACATTTGCGACCACAAGACCTAATCTGGCCATCATGTCTAATATTCGTCTGCCCCTTGAGTTTGTTACTCCTGAGCCCCACTCTATTGCTTGAGAGTTGAAATCTCCTGCTATAATAATGAACCCATCGATGTCCCTGGCAGTATCTTCTATCGCGTTAAGTTTCGATTGAAAT